ATGGTATAGCGACAGGGGCGATGTGACGGCGGTCAAGTCTCCTTTTTTACCATTCCCTACTGACGGTGCAGGGACTACCGTGCCCTGCGGACCCCCGCTCCGCACTTTTTCACCCAAACCGAGTACAACGCGGACCACCGAGACCCCCGCGTCGTACACAGGTCACCTCCGAGGCCTCGGCAAAGCAGGCCTCGGCACGATCAGCTACAGCACCCGCTAGGCCTCGGCACTCCACCAGGTCAAGAGTCCACCAAAGCACGGCATGTCTCCGGCCGTGGAAGTCATACTGACTAGACATCGACAAGGACTCCCACGACCTCAACCATTTCGAACCTGGCCAGCACGGCGTGCCAGACAAGTACTGATCTCCATTCCCAACGCTATGCTGCTATAGGACTAAACTGCAGTAGGCTCCATGTGTAGCTCACTCATGTACTCCTAGCTCCTTCCTTGCGGTTATAAAAGGAAGCGGCCAGGGATAGCTCAGGAGAGGAGAAGAACATACGATAGAACTGCGCTCCCATATTTGCCGTAGACACATCCTGTAACACCCACGCTCCCGAGCTGCTTGAGAGCAGCGTCTCAAGCACCTCGCACCATCCCACGCCGAGACCTGGGACTAGCTCCCTCTCTCACCCAGCTTGTAACCCCCTACTACAAGCACTTCGGTGCAAGGAATACAAGACCGATCTCTCAGACTAGACGTAGGGCACCAATTGCCTGAACCAGTATAAACCTTGTATCTCTTTGCATCACCATCCGGGATTAGGGGCACGCAGTTCACTTTTACTGGTTGGTTAAGGACCCCCCGGTCCGAAACACCGACACTATCTATTTGCTTATGTAGAGGAACACCGAAAAAGAGGAAGAAGGTTACCAAATCAACAGAGAGTTCCATTGTGCCAATGGAGGATTAAGCACCAACATGTTCTATGACTTTTCCACCAAGGTTAGCTCAATTTCCACTTACTGTATTTAGATTCCAATTCATGGTGTCTCATCCTAGTACTTTCAATATTACTGTAGTCAAAACTTGGAACCTGAACCCACAGCTAGTAAGAAGAGAAAGGGTGCTGCCTCTAATTCTAGACCAACAGGAAGGTAATTAATAAAAACTTGAATAAATATTCTACTAATAGAAAGCTAATGGTGACTTCTAAGTACCAAACTCTCTTCTTTTTTGTAGTATAAGCTCGGAGATTACAAGTAGAAAAAAGGGAAAGCAGGGTTCCTCTAACTCTGGAGCATAAAAAAGGTAGCCTATACTAAATCTGAATTTATTTTGCATGGTTAGTTTGTTGATTTTGCAAGCAGTTCTATCTAACAGTAAATTCCCATGGTCAACTTTATATGCTTGCATTTTCCAGCCCCTTCTATATGAAATGTATATCCAATATATTTATAAGTTCTTTATTACCGAAATGTATATCAAATATATCTCAAATAATGTTTTCATACACATGAACATGTATAGGTTCCGAAGTGGTTCAAATCAACCTAAACCACTTTCAATTGAGCTTCCCTCATCCAAAGATAAACCACAAGCTGTTGTTGTCAAGTTAAAAGGCAAAAGGAGGAAGAAAGAAGTAGATAAAAATGCTGCAAAGAATTTTTTGTCGCAGCTTGATAGCCCGCAATGGGCACGAGGAGCAAAAGACTTCAGCCTAGTAGTCCGACACTGAGCACAAGAAGTAAAAGAAGGCTGAGTTTGTGATTGTTGTATGAGAAAATTTCCTAAATGTGTATTGTGTTAGATGTCTGTAATGGATGCAATCCTGTGAAAATGTTTCTGTGCATGTGAACTTGAATGTATCTCGACTATTATTGTGATCATGGATGCTAAATATTGCATTTATCTTGAACATGTGAGTTTTCTAAAATAAATGTGCTATTGTTCTGCTGCATGTCATTTTCAAATTGGATATTGTTGGAGACTTATTTTATTGTTGTTATTCATGTATCTAAATAATTAATTTCAAACTGAATATAATTATACGTAATTATATAAGATGATGCTTGATCCTTTATTTATTTAACACAAGCAAAAACTGAAACATTACAGTTTAAGATAAAAACATTCATAAAAGATACCAATATTAACCATGGAATGCCAGGACTAGTAAAAAACTCTAGGGGTAAAACAGACTTTTCACATAGGACTTGACACCGTTAACAACCCAAACTGACGGAAGTGTCAAATACGAAAGAAAAACTCGAGTTCAGGACATATAGGAAAGATTTTCAGTTTCGATGTCAAATAAGAAAAGAGCATTATTTTTAGGGCCAAATACAAAATTTTCTCAAGAATTTAATCCTTTGGAATACAGGAATTTACACGAATTAAAAAAATACTCATAGGATTTGATTCATTTTTTCATATAAAATACAAATGAAACAGAAAAAAAATCTTGCATTATAAAGGGGCCTTAATTGTCCTTTTGCCCCTAAAATCTTACATCTGAGAAAAAAATGGCGCTTCTCGACACAATATACATTATGTCTAGCTACGTATTATTTTTTCATAGAAAATACACAGTATCATTTTGGCTTTTTAGATATATTATTTTTTATTACGCACCTACCTACCTACCTAGATATACATTATGTCAAGCTACGTATTAACAACAATGTATCTATCTAGAGAAGACAGTATGACTTATACTTTGGAATTGAGGAAGTAGGACGGAGCGGGTATCTGTTTCAAACCATGAAACTTTTTGCTAAAATAAATTCAATAGTTAGTCCTGCACGCGTTAAATTGGAACCGCCAGTTTGCCGAGACTTTGGAATCAAGTGGTGATCTTCATACGCTCCTGGCCTAATTTTAGACAGGTCTCCTGCCTTGGTTGAACGTGAATTATCACATACAGTAGATAAGGCCACAAAGGCACATGTGTGGAGGATGTTCATGGTGAGCATCTTTCGGTAACTCTGGGGAGGTACTAAATAAATTAAATTAAATGCAGGAGAAAAGCAAAACGAAAAGCGTAGGCGCCGTTCCGCTGGATGGCAATGACTGATATTTATCCAAAAGAATATACTTACAGCCGGCCGTATATACGACGACTCAGCTTTGAGCTTTCTATCGCTTACACGAGGGACCGGCCGGGCATTCATGCTGGGAAACTCGATCCTGTGACTGAAGATGCTGTTAATGGGGTACTTACGATGGAAGCTTTGCAAGAAATCGGTGGATTCTGATTGCCTATACCGTGTCCCGTCGCTTTCCTTTTCTAGACTGATTGGCTGATTGCGTGTTATATATGGAAGAGGTGACGTGTGGTTTCCTCGACGATGGAACGTCCTTGCTTCTCACCTGGCCCGCTCGAACGTGCTGCCCTCCCCTGCACCTGCACAGTGCACGCATGTTCCTTGCGTTGTGGCTGTGGGCATGGTGTTTGCCACATCAGATCGCTCTGTCTGTGCTCGCCACCTCAGCGTGACCTACGACTACGAGGAAGGCGTGACCCATAAGGAGAGAAAGGTCCATATTCGTGGTAGATGCCGGATAGCGACAGCTCCCAAACGCCGCGTCCGCAGAATGTCAAACGTAGCCGGCTAGTCCAATTTCTCTCAACTTCGTGCATCATTTTTTTTTTGCCGGGGGACCGGTTTTAAGGCTTGGGTTGGTGTTGCACTAGGGTGCTTGATCTAGCCTCTAGATAGATAGATATAGCTGAGCGAATCTAATTCAAAACTTCACTCATGCAGTGCAGCATAGCGTGCGCGCAACTGCCAGATTGAATCCGGAAGGAAATGACGTCCTCTCGCAGCCCAAAATGTACGTACGCGATTACCCGGAGATTGTTGGCCAGGAGCAAGTGACGTGCTCGGAGCAACTGCTTCTGCTGCCGATATACAAATAACATATGCTTTATGGTAGTATATTTTATAATTCTTCTAATCTTCTTAAAGACGGTGGGCTAGCATTATTGTTCAATCATCGGGGTATGTATGCAGCTCAAAGTGACATCAACGAGTGGTCTACAGATACGAATGCCTTTGATTTTATCGTTGCGCGACACGTCTGCGCCCCCAATGCTTCGTCGCTAAATCTTTCCTCTCTTGGCCAGTTGGGCGTCGGCGGCGAGCTCGGCCGGCCGATGCGCTCGACGCTCGCTCGCTGTCGCGAACTCCTTCACGAGCCGGCTCGACCCATTCCCTTTCAAAAAAAAAGGACTCCTCCTAGCCTCCTACGTGTCGAAACTCGAAACACCGCGTGACTGTTTGAGTGCACGGCCGCCGCCGCCGTGCGCTGAACCCGATGAAGATCCATCCGGTCCGATCCGATCCTATCCGATCCGTCTCCAGGACGCGGGCCAAGCACATTCCGGCCGGTCGGCGGTCAAGCGCCGCTATCGTCGTGACGTCGTCTCGCTCGGCGCCCGCCTCCAGGTCGAGCGAAACCTGGCAGGCGCCGCATCAGAAGATCGATCGCCACGACCTCACGTGCCCCGCCCCGTGTGATCCCGTTGGTTCCCTTGCTGCCCTCTCCGTACTCCACGTCCACGACGAGCTCCCAACCCAACGCCAACGACGCCAACCGCGTGAGCGAGCCGCCCCGACCCCCGAGCACGCACGCTACCGCGCTTATCAACGGTCGTAACCGAAGAAACGCGCAGGAAAGGAAACCCAAGGAGTTGCCAAGTTTAACAAAGGTCCCTTGGCGGTTGGCGCGGACAACCGCGCGGTAAACGGCAATCCCGGTCCCGGGCACCCAGTTTCCGCGAACACCCCTCCCGCCCACCAGGCGCCAGCTCCGCCGCATGCGCAGGCCGCAGCCGACGTGCCCCCGCGGCCCCCGCCGCCCTGCCGAACGAGCCAGTCAAAACCCCCGCTCCACCCCACACGCAGCAGCGACGCCCCCGCCCCGCGTCTTCTTCATCTTCATTAACGCCGCTCCAACAATTCACCAACCCATCCATCCTCCAGTCCTTAGTCCTCACCGGTCACCCCCATCCTCCCATCCCACACCACCACCATCTTCCCCTCCCTCCCCGATGGAGCTGTTCGCGCGCGCGAAGGTGGTGCGGCTGAAGAGCTACCACGACAAGTTCCTGTACGCGGACGAGGACGAGGCGCACGTGACGCAGGACCGGGACGGGTCGTCGGCGAACGCGCGGTGGACCGTGGAGTCCTCGCCGCACAACCCGGGGGGCGCCATCCGCCTGCGGAGCCGGTACGGGCACTACCTCACCGCGTCCGGGGAGCCGTTCCTGCTGGGGATGACGGGGCGGAAGGTGACGCAGACGCCGCCCGCCGCGTCGCGCCCCGCCAACGCATCCGTGGACTGGGAGCCCGTAAGGGACGGCTTCCAGGTGCGGCTCCGGAGCAAGGCGGGACGCTTCCTCCGCGCCAACGGCGGGGTCCCACCCTGGAGGAACTCCGTCACGCACGACGTGCCACACCGCACCGCCACGCAGGACTGGGTGCTCTGGGACGTCGAGATCGTGCAGCTCCTCACGCCGGCGCCGCCCGAGCGCACCGGCTCCGCGCCCGTCGCTAAGTTGCCGGACTCGCCGCCCGCGCCGGAGCTCAGCAAGCCGCCGCCGCAGACGCACGCGCCGCACCACCGGCCATCCAAGTCCTACGCGGCGCCGCCGCCCACGCTGGAGCCCGAGGCGCCGCCGCCTCCGCCGCCCAAGCTCTCCAAGCTCGAGGTTAGTGCCCGATTTGCTCCCCTGCGTTCACTAAATCCCCCACGCCGAGCGTGATGGCTTGTGACTACCATTGGTTCTGATGCCGTCTTCACAAAGGAATTGACTTGTGCTTATCCAAATTCTTCTTGGGCTAATTAGGCGTTTATTACTACCTCTGTTCGGATTGCCGGTCTCAACTGCATTTGGGATCTGGGAAAACTTTATGATTGTGGTGATTTTGAAATGCTAATCATGCTTGGGAATTCACTGCGACTGTTCCTCGTTAGTTATGTATCTGTTGTCTGTCTTCAACTTTGTAGGATTGAGTTAGCTCTATTTCTTCTTCTGGAATTCCTCCAAATTATTGTTAGGACTGCAAGCAATGCACATTATTAAAATTCATTTTTTTCTTCCCGAATTCCTCCAAATTATTGTTGGGACTGCAAGCAATGCACATTATTAAAATTCTTTCTTGCTTCCTGAGTTCCTCCAAATTATTGTTGGGACTGCAAGCAATGCCCATTATTAAAATTCATTTTTGCACGCTGAACCATTTATCCGACTTTTTTGCTGTGATCTAATTGCAAACCTACCTGCATCTCCACTGTGGTGCTTAGCTGCTTATTGAATTTGTTTGGTTAGTTCCCTAATGTTGTCAAAATAGTTTCCTAATGTTGTCAAAATAGTTTCCTAATGTTGTCAAACTATCATGACAATTTCGCCTTGTTTAGCCTGTACAAATGGCTTGGACTGCATGGTGTTACTCTGGTTGATTTTCAGAATTTCTTTCCTCTCTGTTTTTTTTCCCTTCCATATTGAAGTTACTTTCTTGCTCATTTCATATATTTTTGCCATGTTTACTTCTCAGCCTTTCAGGCGGCTCAGAATAAGAGTTGACATTGAATTTTCTTGTATTTCCAGTCCTCTCTTTCTTTCCAGCCCCCCTTGCACAAGGTGGAGGGACGTGCCATCCATTACCACATTGCAGACGATCTGGGCAATGTGGATGACGGCACAGTTGGACACTCCTTCACATTCAATGGCAGCAACTTGGAGGAGCTCGCCCACAAGTTGCAAGAGGAGACGGGTCTGGAAGACATCATCATATGCACACGCAGTCCTATCAATGGGAAGCTCACTCCTCTCCGTCTGCAGCTGCCACCGAACAATGCAGCAATGCATATCGCGCTCGTCCAGGAGTCCTCAAAAGGTGAGTTTACCGCTCCTTGATTTTACCATTTCTAACTCTCCATTTTTTACCAGTAGATTGCTTGCTTTGCATCGAGAATCAAAGATAGCTGCTGTCGTTTTGGTCTTATGGGAGCCCCACTTGGCTAGTTGTTGAAGCACTATAACCTATCTCTTATTCTATCTTATATTCTTGTATTCCTAACTGCTAAGCAGTTAAGCAATTGATTTTTTTTAAAGTTAAGATCATTTACTAACTTTAGCAAGCAACCACCCTGTCTATGATATCTGTGCTATCTTATTTGGCCTGTACTTTCATGATGTCAAGCACCATTTTAAAGGGTACCGGGAGTGGATGTCCGCATAAATAAATTTGCAATTCCACGACAACTTCTTTTAGAGTTTAGTGACATTTGTGTGTAAGTTCAGTTCCCTATGCTAAATATTGAAAAAAAAATCATTTTTTTCATAAGTCAATTCTGCAGTAGAAAGTAAGTGCTATTCAAATTCCGGTCTAGTTTCATGACACAACTACTTAATTAGTATTAGTTTCAATTTGCCATAGTAGCTGTGCAATCCTTCCATCTATCTATGATGTCCCTCTTGTGGTACTTGGCATTGACCATGCATATCTCTCAAAGAACGGAAAGAGCAAGAAATTAAACGGTGCATATCTGAGATTTTGCATCTCACGTGTTGCTTGCCGTTACTTACTGTGACGGTCTGACCATGTGACGACAAGTAATTCATGTTAATGGGGGTTGTGGCCAGCATACACTTCCTTCCGATGTACTCCTAAAAGGTGGAAATGGCTTGTCTTTGTTTAAACAAGATGATATTATTCATTCAGTGACAAACAACAAACAGTGTGTAAAGCATTGACTCATGGGTTTGTGATGCATTGTTAACAGTTAGTAGTAACCGTCATGTGTCCTGCATTGTGCATCATGTGCTGAATTTTGGTTCAACAAAACAACCCCTATTGATGAGATATCTAAGTTATATAAATGTTGTAGTTATAACTAAAGATGTGATTTTTAACTTTTTTAACCCAACTGGGCCATTTGAGATTTGAGTCATTATATTAAAATTAACTCTATAGATTTCTGTTAGGTTCAGTGTACAGCTGCTTGTTAGAACCCTTCACCAGTTTGTGATCTACTGATCTTTTGTTCTTCCTACATACTACTCGCCAACTGACCATTCTTCTTTCTCTGCTGTGAATTTCAGTGGCTAAAACATTTCCATGGCCATATGGTTCATAAATCACAACAGTTTGGCGAAGACAGGGCCTTGAGTTTTGGTGGATTTGTGCATCTCGCCTAAGCCCGTACATCATTCGATCAAGTCATGCCAGTTGTGCAGTTACACTGCGTAAACCTCATTCGTGTACATGTAAATAGAGCCCCCTCCTATAGTATAGCTTAAAACCAGCGGAGATTCGTCGTGTGATATGTCATATGTGCAGAGAGATGTGTTCAATTAATTAATTTATAGTCGAGAGTTTGACCCTGAATCGTACATCCTTGGTTATATTAGTTGCCGAAGAGAATTTCTACTCGTTGCCGAGTCAACATCAGCCGGCTCATTCTTCCCCAGTTGGGGTTCAGTCAAGCTGGCGGTATAATACTTTAGGATGAGGGCACTCATGTTCTGAGGAGTCCACCAATCTTAAAGTTTGATCAAATATATATAAAAAAGTAACATTTATGGTATAAATGAGCATAATTATTAGATTAATTACACCGTACAATTTCGTATCTAGAGTAACTCCAGCAGGCCTCTACTTAAGCTCTCGTAGCTAAATATTGAAGCTCAGGATAAAAACGCAGCTCCAGCAGGCCCCAATTTGGGTGGGCGCCCAAATCTCCCCTCGGCCCCGATTCATGTTACCCCGTCCCCCATCCGCACGGGCGCTGCACCTTCCCTCCCTCCGCGTGCGCTCGCTGCTCCAGCTCGGCGTTCCCTCCCCTACCTCTGGCGGCCCGTGCCCTCGCCTCCCCTCCGGTCGTCGAGATCTGGCTCCCTCCGGCGGACTGCTCGCGGAGGTGGAGACGGAGGCGGCCATGGCGCACTGCTTGCGAAGGTGGAGATGGAGGCGGCCATGGCGCACTCGCGATTCCCTCATGGCCATGGCCGCGCCTCCCTCCGTCGCGCCGGCGCGCCCTCCTCTCCGGCGGCCCTGGCCACGTCCCGGAGCTCCTCCTCGCTCCCTGACTGGATCTCCTCTCAGTCCGGATCTCCCTCTCGCGATGCCTCCTGCCCGTACGCATTCCCACCGCATCTGTGCAGGCCTGGCTCCTTCCCGTCGCCAGCGCTCAGGAAGATGGCCGCTGCTCCACCGCGTGGTCGCGTGGGGCGCGACGCCTCCGCCCGTACACGCCGGCCCCTTCCCCAGGGTCGTTGTGTTGAGCTCAGTTGCTAGAGCAGAGGATGACAAGTGGATCCCAATTGTCATTGTATGTTAAAAAGGATTGGGGGCTTTGGTTTGGGGCTTCTGCCGGAGGGGATTGCAAAATAAAGGGCCGACAAAAAGTACGGGGCTCCTGCTGGAGTTGCTCTAAATCTATCTAGAGGTACAAAGTGGATGCTATTTTCTATAAGTCTAGCGCTAATGCTCCGATTAGGATGTCCGTCCGAACAGGATGGACCCGCCTTATGTTGTGCACCCCTGACCCGCCTTGTACTGCGTGCGCCTCGCGCATCGCTCTATGCGCCCCTAACTCGCCTCGCGCTGCGTGCGCCTCGCGCCACTCTCCGTGCGTCCCTGCACCTCGTGGCTCGCACGGTCGCACCGGACCCCGCCTCGCACCGCGCGCCCCTGCACCTCGTGCCTCGCAAGGTTGCACCGGACCCGCCTCGCTTCGCGTGCGCCCCGCGCCTTGCACCTCGCTCGCGCCTCACGTTGCACTCCCCCGCGTAGCGTCAACTAGCCTCCATTGGGCTGCAGCAAGTAGATGAACACATGTTGCAACCCTATGTTTCATTCGTTTAGATGTATGTTTTATATGTTTCATCTGGACGTTGCATATGTGTTCATCCTGATGTCGTATGTGTTTCATCTGAATGTTGCATATGTTACAATGGTTGTACACGTATATTACAAGTATATGTTTCAAATGTTTCGTCTGTTTTACACGTATGTTGTAAGTGTTTTATTTTTTGATGTTACATATGTTTCAGTGGCTATATAGATATGTTGCAAGCGTCTATTTAAAATGTTTTATATGTTTTAGACGTACGATGCAAATGTTTTATCTGGATGTTGTATATGTTTAAGTTGTTATACATATATGATGCAAGTGTCTGTTGCAAATGTTTCACGTGTTTCAGACGTATGTTGCAGAAGTGCTTCATGTTGCAACATTAGCAGACACCGGAAGCAGGCGCAGCGGTCCCCACATGAGCGGCAAGCAAAGCGGGCATGGGTGGTCCCCACCTACATGCACATCAGCAGGCACGAGGCGAGCATTAGCATTTAAGAGGCGCACAATTGCATGCGCAGGATCTTGAACCTAGAGAGTTTCTGACGATGATGGATATGCAGACGGTTCTGCTTCGGCACCAATTCTAGGCATTGGCATTGGCCCAGAATCTTGAACCTAGAGAATTTCTGACGATGATGGTGTCCTGAAGTCTGAACTTCTAGACACTAGCGAACTTTGTAGCCTGTAATGTACCACGGAAACAGCAGATGCAGATCTCCGTCGCATCTTGTGGTTGTGGGCTGGGGTGGGCATTATGGGATCCATGTGTTCCAAACTTCCAGATGAAATCAGTGTCGGGGGCCTTGCTCTTCTGCTTCTGCCACCGAGACGGATAACTGAATCCGCGTCGTCGTAAATGTGCCGGCCGGCGGCCCGCCTTTGCTTTCCATTCTCTTCCTCTTCTCTTCCCTTTTCCTTTCACTGTGCTGTGCGTCGAAAGAATATACTAGCAGCGATGGCCGATGGCCGATGGTGCTGTGCGTCAAAAGAATAGCAACGACGTCCGATGGTTGGGTAAATAGGACTTGCAAACTGCAGCAGCCTGCAACCAGCAGACACAGTTGCGAGCCAAGCATGCCGAGATTTTTAACAGCGGCTGCTGCAGGCTGCAGCTCCGAAAGACCGGACACATCTACTTAACTAGTATTAGTTTCTTGACACATCTACTTAATTAGTACTTATTAGTTTCAGTTTACCATATTAGCTGTGCAATCCTTCCATCTATCTATGATGTCCCTCTTGTGGTACTTAGACATTGACCATATCTCTCAAGAACGGAAAGAGCAAGAAATAAAAACAATGCATATATGAGATTTGCATCTTGCATATTGCGGTAAGGCTAGCGCCCGGTAGTCCGCCCTAGTCCCGCGTCCCGTGCCCGCATTGCATCCCACGTGCTCCGTCCTGTTCCAGGGCCGTCCCTTGGCACGTGCAACGTGTGCGACGGTACAGGGCCTCCACTTTTCAGGGGCCTCCAAATATATATAGAGTATATATACGTATATATGTATTGCTTGGTAAATAAGAACGTACAGCAGTAGCTTTGGCCTTTGGCCCATTAGCAAAGCGACGTGTACAACAATTGACCAAAGCCCAATAAACAATGGCTTGTTGCCCGCCGCTGTTCAGTTGGCAATGTTGCCGATCCCAATTCCCCAACTGAATCAGATCGCAAATCTTAGGTCTCACGTACTACCTCTCGACGTCTCGTGATAATCTTGTGATAATCTTGAGGCTGTCCTTAAAAAGGATGAAAAATCTGATATTGATGCCAAAGAACTATATATGGAGCTGAAGTTTCTACAAGACTTCATTCCAGAAGAAAGAATGGGGCCTGTTGAAATTTTGCGGTTTTTAAAGGAGCATGGTTGTTTTCCTAATGCAACTATTGCATATAGAGTTTTGTTGACTATTCCTGTGACTGTTGCATCAGCAGAGCGAAGCTTTTCTAAGTTAAAGCTATTGAAGACTTATTTGCGTTCTACAATGACACAAGAAAGACTTAATGATTTGACTATAATAGCACTTGAAGGTGAACTGTTGGAGAAGATTGATTATGAGCATACTATTGAAGACTTCATTTCAAAGAACACTAAAAGAATGATGTTATTCAAGTAAAGATTATGTAATATAGGTATCATTCTTGAATCTTGATATATATTTTATTGCAACATACTGCATGCTTTATAATATCGTATATTTAGTTTTTTTTTCTAGGCTAATAGGCCTCATTTCTTAGTATCGTACAGGGCCTCTAATTTTCCCGGGACGGCCCTGCCTGTTCCCAACCAGCGCCAGCGTCCGGAACCGTGCCACGCGCCCCGCATGGTGGAACCACACCCCCACGCCCTCCCGCATCCGCACGGCGGAACTACGCCCA